AGGTGTCTATTGTATATGTATTATTATTTAGAATATTCAGAAGTTAAAAAAAATCTATTTATTTATATATTTGGGGAAGAATATACAATATTACAATATTGCTAATAGTATATACATTCGCTGATACCAATACTTTCCCGTTTCCCTTGCAGGTATTGGCAGATTTCGTTTTATATTCATAAAAAAGTACAAAACCTTCATTACTTCCTATTAGAATGAATATGTAATTGAAAAACTTTCTTTCCATAGGGTGCTTATGACCGAAGCATATTCAGGAATTAACATTATTATGCAACATTACGGTAATGGAACAGTTGAAGGAGCACATTTCCCTTTCAATTTTTTTGTTATAACCGAAACAAGGTATGACAGTACTGCCAATGACATCATTTCAGTAATAAAGAAATGGTTTCACAATCTGCCAAGCGGACATGTAGCTAATTGGGTGGTAAGGATGTCATCAAACGCTGTAGTTGGCTTATTTAACTTAAATCGAATCGTCTGTCGTCTTAAAGAACTTACAAGCGTGACGTGACTCAGAATAAAAAAGACAGTTACTTATTTGCTTATTCTTTTTCTATTACATACCATTTTACGTGAATATCGTATCCTTCTTGGGTTTCAGTTGGGAAATCACGATAGAGATAGAGTAGCCACCCGTCTTGGAGTTGAGAATGCAGACGGATACAATATGCTGGTAGCCCTTCTACCAGGGATAGCTGTTACTTATTNTGTAGGATTTGTTTTCTCATTCATGATACCTTCCCTCTTCTAAATAAGCAACAGTAACGTACGTATGTATCGAACTTTCCGGCATCACTTTAAGATTTATGATTTAAACTATTTGAAGCAATTTAAATATATCCTTTCCTGGAACAAAATATATTTAGTATTTGTAGTACTAGATTTTAATACAAAATATGAAGAATACAAGAATGTCCTCGGAGTGTTCTTTGTTCCTATGTTTGGAACACACTTACGGAATCAATAATAACTGTATTATCTAATGGGAAGTTAGTCGTATTAGCACCGACCAAAGCGTGCTCAGACCAATTTTTTCCTTATTGGATTTTAGTTAGGAAATCACGATAGAGATAGAGTAGCCACCCGTCTTGGTGTTGAGAATGTAGATGGTTACAATATGCTGGTAGGCCTTCTACCAGGTATAGCTGTCACTTACAACGGAGAAGAAATTGGGATGGAAAATGGAGAGGTANACAAACTAATTATTTTCCATATTTTTACTTGTTTCAAGTACCCTGTACTATTTTGTTTACTAAAAGGTCAACGAAAGCGTTAGACGAAGGGTCAATTTATGCGTTGAAGGAAGGGCAAGTTCCGAAGTTTTCATAACTCTCACAACTATCGACACTATCTTCTTTAAAAGTTGTTACAAGCTTAATGTTTGCGGACCGAAATAAATTGGGATCATTACTTTTTTATTCTCTTCCGACTGTAATTATGTTGAAATCCTATGGTGTTTGTTCAAAAGATCATGAAAATAAAATGAGTTTAACATCACCTCCAACAGGTACATTTTATTACTAAATAAATACAGAAATCGCCTCAATATGTAAAGGAAAGTAGTAATAAAATGAAGAGGGCTTACTTGTTGGTTGCAAAATCTACGTCATAAGGAAAGTCGTGTTTGCTTTCGGACAATAAAAATAAAACTTTATACTTGTCAATAGCAGAAGAAAACCGAGGGATAACTGCCAAGCCGCACTTCCTTAGAATGTAAATAAGCATCTTATGTTCTCTGATTTCTGTAGAACAGCAACCACCCTCTGCTATCATGATCCACACTGACCTTGCAGGCTCTGACAACCGTTGATATCCTATGAATTATGGATCAGGTATTCGGCATTCGAAACATAAAAAGTAACAACATCTTCAGAAACGTTATTTTTATATCGTGTGTGTCATGTTTTCTAAATCACCGGCGCTTTCGCAAAACCCGATATTATTGCTTTTCTTTACTACCCCCGTACTGACTGTAATACGTTCTTGGATTGTATTTGTTACCTTATCGTCGGGTACTTGTGCAAGGGTGTATTACCTTCCCTAATCCTTCTTTAGAATAAACCCAAACAGGTACAGAGCACAGGTTCCCACAATACAATAAAACAGATTCATAAAACCTCTATGTAAACTATTGACATCGTTTGTAAAAAAAAATATCGCGAGAAAATGCATACATTAAAATTCTCTAGGATCTAGGAGACGAGTCATTTTTTCAACGTAATGAGTACGAGAACAAAATAAATAAGGCATTTTACTTAAAAGGCATCTCGGGTTCCGTCAGGATTTTTCCATTTTTAATTCCAAACGACCCCAATCTATTACGTATATGTACTTTTGTATTATTATTATTATTAACTTTTAATACCCCACTAGGTAGGCCTAGATTAGATTACTGTTCACAAATACTAAGGATGTGAGATGTTCTAGTTTCAGGGAAATGCGAAGATTAGCTTAGGATAGGAAAGAGTGGAGGTGCGTTTTTAACCAGCTATAAGACTAACTTAACCATATAAAAGAGGTTTATAATCTACGAATGCACGCAGTTGTTGGGTATATTATGTAAAAAAAAAACCTACCAAAAATATAAATCGAAATTTTATTTTCATTCATTTAGGTCTCGCTAAATCTTCACAATTTTAGTAATTTGTGCCACAATAACTAAAAAAAAAATAGATGTGTCTGATTTTGGAGTGAAAAACGTTTGTACCATCAGTAAAATTCTAATAGCGGTCACTTCTATTTTATTTTGTCAATAACATTCAACGCCGTGGAAGCCCGAAGGCAGTAAACAGGAGCAGAAAACAAGGATCGTTGTGTTCGGAATGGGTCAACAGCAACAGCAGCAGTCTTATATTAACTTCGACCCTAAGGAAATAGCCTGAAGGCGTTGCGGTGAAGCAGGGCGACGCCTGATGTATGTCTTTGCGAAACGTATAGCGTATTTCGGTAAATTTATGATCTTCAAGACTTTAACTGAACGCATCGTTTACTACGAAATCGCCGTATTGCTATATTAATGAAAGTTTTTGAGTCAATTTAAACATTTAAATACAGAACTCGGCAAACTATGTCAATTTTAGGTCACATCTTTTTCAAAGTTATTAGAAATATTATTTGAATCTGGTTTGGGCATTTTAGAAAAATTAATTACTATATTAGAAAATTAGGATTTCAATAACAAACTGTTCAAATCCGCTGTAGATTACTTTCCATCATTTGCTGGTAAATAATTGCCCCATTGATCAGTAGAGAGTCCATCGAATTTATTTGAGTAATTACATATGCACAAACTAATAATATAATCATAGGACAGAGATAAATAGATTTACCTGTCCGTCTGTTTTATGCGATCTAATTCATGTTATTTCATCGATTTGAAACGTCCACCAGCAACGGATAACAGATGCTCCATAAAGTTTTGCTTCGAGAATCCTTCGAAGAGTAAAATGTGTAAGAGTCTAGCATCTATGCATATAACAGAACAGAATGTGTAGATAATTTTCAACACGCATGTCCCTGTAACCCTACATACCAGCCGCTACTGATGCATAAGTTTATTACCCATTACTTATGACCCGGTAAAAGAAATAATTTATGTAGGATTTGTTTTCTCATTCATGATACCTTCCCTCTTCTAAATAAGCAACAGTAACGTACGTATGTATCGAAGTTTCCGGCATCACTTTAAGAAATGGCTACATCCATGAATGAACAAAACGATCGTAGACAGTGAAACGTGTCCTCATACATAAAGATATCGAGAAAATTGATGCAATTTTTCGGAAACACACAACTATACGTAGGTATCTATAATTTACCGGGTCGAATAATCCCAGCGTAGCCAATATGGTTCCAATTCCGCAACCGGGATTTCCATTTTTGACTGCACTGATCCACAGTTATAAATGGGGGTGAAGTTAACTTAGGGGGAGGCTTATTCTACGAACGTTCGGTATGCGACCGTCGACAAGATTGTCGTAAGAGCGGGTGATTGAAGTGGACCGGGGAGTGGCCAGCGTGATGCAAAACACACCCTCGCCCGATAGCCCTCATAGTCCTAACGTCGGTTTAAGAGGGTCGAAGGGAAGCCCTGGACTCTGACTAACGAGGGTCATTCGACGGAACAAAAACCGAACCGACAGTCCGGGATTATGAAAATGAAGCGGGTATGCTTCGAAACGTTAGGGAGATTAAGTAAATGACAGTACATTTACGATAACTTTTTCCAAGTAATTTTCACACTGAGATTGCTCTCAATTTCTTACTTTGCCCCCCCTCACATAAGCAGTAGTCATTTTAAAATTGTTCAAACAATATTTTCATCTTTGATTTTATTGAAGAAAAGTGCAAAACAGGGAAGTAGAGGAATCTTGAAGAAAGAAGTAGAGTGTGAGGACATTAATTAGAAAGATTAAAAGAAACAGCTTAGAAAAAAGGGGCAAATATGAAAGAAAATCCTAGAAAAAAACGGAATGCAGCAGCCTTGTAACAAAAACAACATTGGCTAGCTCATTTGATTATCTGTTGGGTAAATACGTAGCAGGAAATAAATTGCAAGCCCATAAATTCAGAAAGTGATCGCAGCAGTGACATTGGGATAGTAACAGAAGGGTATTAAAGATAGACCGACGCTGCCCCAACCCCTAGACGTATCCGTAAACTATATACAGCGTACAGGCATCAGAAGTCTCCAAGACTGTCCTTTCTCTGTCGCTGATTTAAATAAGCCCGGACTTGAAGGCAACCTCCCGGACCCCCGGGAATGGCTTTGGTTTTTATTCGATGTGAACCCATACGACCAACAGCATCAGAAAAGAACAGAGGAAGAGAAGGGTGGTTGCCCCGGGTGGCGTCTCCACCTCGAAGACTATCGGAATGGAAACGGTAGAAATGAATTACAACGTTTCTGACTTATTTTTTTTTACAATACATATTTCTTTACGTTTTGTCATTTCACGGCGTAATTGTTGTATACCGAATTTACGTTATATCCACTGCTATTTAGATTATCAGTAAATTTCTAATACAGCATAGTACTGATACCCGATGCCCTATTTATACCACAAATAAGATTCGACTACCCATTTTGGACCGCCCTATTCAATGAAAACAAAGATCGGTTAGCAGTTGCTGATATATATACGTACACACATATTGCACTAGAATTCCTTGTTTATAATAATTGAATCATTTACATTATGTTTTGACATGACCAGGTCGGTATCATTACAATAGGAATACATGGGTAATAGTTTTGGCAGCAAATAAGTTGGATAAAATTCCGTTGGAAAGAAGCACTTATCCAAATAAAAAAAGAAAACTTCAAAAAGTAATTTTCATTTACAGGAAAACGTTGCTAAAAAGGCAATTTTCGTTAACAAGCCATTCAGACTCGTATTTTATGCGACACATCTTGCAAATAACGAGCGAAATCAATGGTCGACTCGGGAAAACAGTCGTCATTGAATGATCATGTCGTGGTTGGAATATTCGATTACCTAACAAAACCAACTTGAAATTTTTGCAGTAAATAAATTGTATACAATTATATATAATAGATATGCTTTCAAATGAACAACAATATAAATAAAACAGATTCATTTTAATACGTCAGCGTAAATTTTTGACAGGGAAATTCTAGTACATAAATCGAAGAACGACATCTACTAAATCACTAAGAAGACTATCTGATTCTGGGGTTCAACAGCAGGACCATAGTGAGTTGCTAACCTGATTTTTTAAATAAAAACCCCTATTTATCTTAAAGAAGAATCGAATTATAAGGGACCCGAGAGAGATAATCTTGAAATTTCTCTGGTAAAATATTTGCGGTGCTAAACATAAATGTATACGCCACAGCCAACCTGTACAATTCGGCATTTTGGAATACAACTATAAAGGCAGTGGCTAACTAAAAAGATTCAGCGGGTTTGCCAAAAAAATTGCATGGTTTGGATAAATTAGGTTTGCCTATATTCGCAACTCTAAAACCGATTCCTTTAAAGTGATAACACACAATTTACGATATGTAACCTACAGTTATTGCATTTCATTAGAAAGTGCTGGATTTTTAAGATTGATTGCGACATGTAAGTACATGTATCTTAAAATATTTGTTTTGACTTGAGCAATATCTACGAGCAAGAAACAGAGAAATCAAATTTAGTTTAGTTTAGAACAAAATCCACCACAAAATATCCAAAAAATTTTGCGCTCAATTTATCAATATATATTCTAAAAAATAAACCAGGCGCCACAATAAATTAATTTTACTTATCAATTTCCAAAAAACTGATTGTCTACATTATTTGAAAAAATTGATAAATGTATCTAATAGGTACTTGACAAATACCTATTAATGTTTAAGACTGATATTAATATCTAATACAATTAACGTGAAATTAAGATTATTCTTTTGGAACAAAACCTACTAAATACTTAATAGCAATTGATCAATCGCCTCAGTAGGAGTTTTGATATATTTTAATCATCAG